CAAAAACTTCTCTGGGACAGATAAACTAGTGTACCTAAATCACAGCACAGAAGATGAAGGCCTCATTCAAAGCACAACTACTCATCACTGAAGAGGCAGTGTTGATAATTTGCTGTGATAATAGATGTAGAAGGATCCATCAATCACATCATGACTGCTTTATTTCTAATCAAAAGCGTTAGCATGCTGAAAGAAAAATATTATACTATACTATAAACTATATAACTGTCTAACTTTATGGATTTGACTGTGAGAGATATTTTTAATTGTAGAATTAATCATCTACTTTATTAACTACCTATCTAACTCATGTTTTCTCTGCCACTGGAGCCTATACTAGCTGCCAGAGTGCAGAAATGGTGGTAGTTCCTGTAAAACTGCAGGAAACATTTCTGTAGTCACCTTTTACTTAACAGCTATTTCCTGGGAGGATTAGAGGTTCTGACTCCCACATACATTTAAACCACAAGCTAAAAACTGACCATAACCTTCAGCAAAGTTGCTGACAGCCAACTAAAATTCAGTTAACTTCAATTTAAGCAAACTGGAGGAAACTCAAAGTCCCATAACTGTTAAGAATCAGCTGCCTCACTGTTAATATAGTAGTTATTATCCACATACCATAATGCTCTCTGCCATGCTCTCCGTGAGGATGTCGCCTGCCTGCAGAAACTGAATGAGCAGCTCATCCACCACCAGCTGTCTGCACAGGATAGCCGAGTTTCTTCGGAGAGCCTGTCTGTCCCGCTCCATCATGCCACACTCCAACATTTTTCCCCTCAAAAACTGTATCCAGAGCAGGTAACAAGATACACGAACATTGTGAACAATACAAGCATATGGACGCTTTTGTCCAACACTGGGAACAGTCACTTTATTAGCTTGGTTCCTCAGTTACACCCTTATAACAAAATACAACACAAGCGATAACGTTACCATGAGGCACTCTTTGAGCCAGCAATAATAAACCAGTAACAACAGAAGCTGAACAATACAATGGTAAACTCAGTAAAGTATCTACCAAATAATAAGATAAAGAGGAAAATAATGGAAGTATAATATTAGCTATGTAAGTTTACTATGCTGAGTTACAATAAAAGAGAAGTTACGCTAATCTAAATGGTGTTGGCTGATGGTGATAAACGCTAGCTAACTAGCTAGCTAACTTCGACTTTCTCTGCACTGAAGTGGGTTTAATATGACTCCCCGCATTCCCACTACTTACCTCTCTTCTGTTCCTGCAATAGACTATCAACACACCCTAAAAATGAGCAAAATGTCTCCGTAAGTCCCTTTACTAAACGCAAATTAACAACATCCCGTCTACACGCCACAGACGAACTTCCGCGGGGTAAACAGACCATCAGACTCTTCGAGTTGGATTCTGACCAATGAGAGCGGTGTACAGTTTGAGTGGCGTTTTAGTGAACCAATCGTTTCTTCTTTTCTTCTTAATGGCATTTTAACCGTACAGTAAACTGCTGTGTGAACAACAGAAATAAGGGTATTTTGAATTTGAATCTCATTTCAGTTAATAAGTAACCAATTGATAAGAAGGCAGGCACAAAGGCCTCTCGAATAGAGAGCTATTTAAAAAGGAGTAGTGTAAAGACACTTAAAGGTCACATATTTGCAGTAGGGTTGCTGTACACTCTCTATATGCTCATGTAAAGCTGAGGAGCACGAGCCAAAGAATTTCATTATGGATAAATGTGGCTACACTGTTTATCTGTACATGACAATAAAACTTGAAACTTGG